ATAAACAGGAAAGGGTCAGATAACACAGGTATATCACAGGCAAGACAAAGAATATTCCTAGGGCTAGCGTGGGTCTTCGATCGGCGAACAGTATCCAGAGGGCTTGACAAGAAGGATTGAGTTCAGCTCATGAAAAATGGGGGCAAAAACAAAGTGTTGCGTTTATAATTTTGTTCAGTGTAGAACTGGGAACTAGGACCGGGAACTAGGAATGGCTCCGCAATGCAGCTATCACTGGAAGAGTGATATGCGCTAACCAATACTCGGCAGTTTGAGAAGGATCTGAATGAGTGTAATATAGTGTGTGTGTTTGATTGGTTACAGCTGTGTGCAATCAGTGCAATGGATGATGGGAAATGTAGTCCATGGTGACGTGTAACAGTCTGTGTAGTGAGAGAGTCAATATGATGGACGAGTGACCTCTGGTGGCGATCGGATGGAAGTCCATGGACAGGATTCGTAACAACTACAGTACAAGACTATTCTCCTTGAATGTTATGAAATTGCACATAGAATAATATGAGCTATCACAGCTTGAAATTTCATGTCATTAACATGTTTTACACGTTTTCCAGATCCAATGCCAATGAAAATGTGGGCAGGCATGTTTCACTCTATTCTTATCAATTTTGAGTTGCGTCTCTAGTGCATTTTGCATATGGTCATCCATGGTATGTGGAGTTTCTAATCATGTGCTGCTTTCCATATAAGTCTCTTCTGAGGTTCAGTGTCTTTTTGGAACAGAGCTACTGTGTACTTTTCCATCCTTCTCTATCACCTCAGCTTGTCCTTTGAGGAACAGGTTTTAATTACTTCCCTCAGTAGTTAATAGGGTGAGGCTTGGTGTGATTGCAAGGTTTCACTTCCAGAGTTCTGAGTCTAGTTGTTGTTCTATGAGGTTCTCTGCCCCCAGACTCCATACAGATACATATGCATATGCACATACACACACAAGTAAATTCAATGCCATAACTTCCACTCATTAAAAGATAATTAGGCTTATTAGAATTTTAGCCTGTTATTTTCATCTTAGCATCTTCAGCCAAAGAGGTGTGGACTAAAATTAGAATTAAGGATCTGCAGTGCATTTGATAAATTATATATTTTTTCCAAGCTTGTAGCAAGAAGTACATTATAAGATATTTGTTTGCCTTCATATGGCATTAGATTTATTACAGTGAACCCTTAACAATGTTATGAAATAATAGGCAAAGTACAGGGTAACAAGGAAATAATAAGGCTATGAATGGAGCAACTTGTGAAAAATGCTTCTATCACCTAATATTAATTTCTTATGTTGAATCCCCCAATTACTGCCTCAAGTATAACCATGCATCCTATACTAAACACAAAACATCTTGTGCATTCAAAAATAAAAATCCCAGATCCCAAGTCATACTCCATTTTATATTAGTTGTATAATTAATGTTTTTTTTTATGATACATATCTTTTAATTTCTCATAGAACATATCTGTAACACTTTACAATGAGGTCACATTTGTTAACATTAGTAAATGCGGTCACACACAAGTTTTGCCTCAAACTCGTACTTACTGCTTATTAATAGTTAGTAAGGTAGAAGTTTAGATATGGAGTAGGATTAAGGGATGTAGAATATTGTCATGCAAAATAAGGCATTAATATGTGCTTTATAAGTATGAATAAATAGCCAATATGCTAGTAATATGCATGCTAATGAGCAACTAGTTAATAGTCAGAACTGGTCGCCAAACTAAAGTGTTACTTAATAAATGCATTAGCTAAAATGAACTAACAATGAATAACATATATACTTTAAAGCATTTATTAATCTTTGTTATTAGTTAGCAACCGTAACGGACGAGCATGACAACAGAGCTGGGGATCCAAATGCAGGCTTTGAGAGAGCATGGTCAAAACAGGCAGGGTCAAACACCAGCAAACAACATTGTCCAAGGGTAAGGCAAGGCAAGGCAAAAAAGAAAAAAGAAAAGAAGAAGAGTAATCCATATAACAGTTTAGGGTCAGGGCAGGCAGTATAAAATCACAAAAATCAACAATACAGTCCAAGATCAAAAACACAGGCAAGACTAGGCAAAGAACAAGGCAAGGTAAACAAGGGAAATGTCCGGTAATGTCTGCAATGCTATACAATTGTCAGATTCTGTTCCTTGTTTTGTGTGTGTTTTGCTCCCCATGTGCCTTCCTTGCCCTTATTTGGTCTTCCTGTTCCTGCCCTGATTGTGTTTATTTAATCCCAGCTGTGTCCCATTGATTTCCTTGATTAGTCCCATAATATAAACCCTGTGAATGAATGACAGAATTCCAGACCAAAAACAGAACAGTAAGCGGCGCCCCCTTTCCCCTTGTTTGGTTTCCATTTTTTTAACAGTTTTTGTTTCCTGTTTGCTTCCCTCCGCGATCATGAAAATCGACGCTCGTTTCTCCGCCTTAGCCCGCAGAGATCTCCCCTTCTTCGAGTATGCCTGGGAATTCGGCGGGCTCGCCGTGGCGATGGCATTGGATGACGCCACCATCAATTAGCTGTTCTGGCTTGGGGCCAACTACTATCGCCCCATGATGTACTCGTAATACAAAAAAAAGTACACTTTAATATCACTAATCAAGCATGTAAATAGGCATATACTTAAAGTGTACTAAGTGTACTTGAAGTTGTTCCAATTTAGCACATAAAAGTACACTAAATACACTTAAAGTTATGCTTTACTACAATTTAATTACAATTAAAATATACTTAGTACAAAATTAGTTGTTCCAAAATAGCACACTTCAAGTTAACTAATCATTAACATACTTAAAGTATATTGACAATTAGTCTGGCTGCAAGTATACTTGGCATATTTTTTTTTCACTAGGGAGGGCTCCAGTTCCCATGTCGAGCCCAAGGAGGGCTCCAGTCCCCATGTCAAGCCCAGGAAAGGCCACTGTTCCCGAGTTAGGCCTACAGAGGGCCTCTTGATATTCTACCCAAGGAATTTTTTTTGGGGGGTAGTATGGGTCTGTCCGTAGTGGCCGGGCCAAGTGGCGAGGCCAAGGCCACGGAAGCCGTCCAGCCATGGCCTCCTGAGTTCCCTACTCCGCCATGGCCTTCTGAACGGTCTGCTCCACCATGGCGCCCCGAACTGTCTGATCCGCCATGGCCCCCTGAGTTCCCTACTCCGCCATGGCCTTCTGAACGGTCTGCTCCACCATGGCGCCCCGAACTGTCTGATCCGCCATGGCCCCCTGAGTTCCCTACTCCGCCATGGCCTTCTGAACGGTCTGCTCCACCATGGCGCCCCGAACTGTCTGATCCGCCATGGCCCCCTGAGTTCCCTACTCCACTATGGCTCCCCGAGCTGCCTACTCCGCCATGGCCTCCTAGTCTGCCTAGGAGTTTCTCCTTCTGAGTTTCCCTTGTCTGGAATTGTACGTCAATCCCCGTGTCCTACGTGTGATTTACCTGTTGAAGAAAATAAAGCCAATGTTTATTCTGGATTCTCCTTCGTCTCCTCGCTCCTTCACAGTAGGCACACCGTGACAACAATACTTTGCAATGTGTGTGTATGAGTGCAGCCTAAATAGACTGTTTGATGGGCAACAGGTGAGCATGCAATCAGTTCCTATGCATAGGATTATGGGAAATGGAGTCCAGGGTGAAAAGGTGATGGAGACATCTGGTGGTGAGTGGGAGGAACAGCAGGGACCGCATTCTTGACAGTAACATATTCATTGTTTCATATCCATTGTTTGATCATGTTAGTTCACAGTAGATTATCTAATGTTAACAACTTTTGATTTCTGAACATAAATGCTGAAAAGTTAATGTTGAAGTTAACAAATGAAATCTTATTGTAAAGTTTTACCATCATATCATATAATACAACATATAAATGCAATCTGCTATTGTTTTTTCTTCTTCTTAGGTTATTGAAATGCCCAGGTCTTTGTTTTACAGTCACACAATCAAGATCAGATAAATCAGTGGAACACATCACTACACATCACCATAGTGATTCATCAGAACGGATCTCATATACTGCTCTAAGAATCTGCACTTATTTTGCATTTTGAAAATAGACTGTAGAAAATAGATGTAGATTAAATGCTTCAAAGACATAATTAGCATCTTATTTTGCATTTTTGCACTTATATTGTTGTGCATGTCAGAATTCGCATAACAAACCATTATGGTGAATATGGCTTTGCCAGAGCATCAGCGTTTCCTCATAAAGCTGCATATTTGCCCTGATTCCCTGCTTCAATTATTTTCCTAACAGGACTCACAGCTTGAGAAGGGATGAATCATTCTGAATAAGGTTATGATGTACTCAATCAGAGGCAGATCATATATCGTTCATCCACGAAAGCCGCCTCAGCATGCTTCACGCCCAGGCACGAGAGGCAGCGATCGTGACCATCACCCAGCGCCAGGTAACGACCGCATCCAGAAACGCTCGGTTGATACGTTGTCTATAGCAAGACCCACATCGTCTTTACAAAGACGTAACGTCAAGTTTGCCACGCAACGTCGTCTTTAAAAAGACGCACCCGAAATTGCTCTTTTAGGGGAAAAAGCTCTTTTAGTGTGCTGAGGCGCACAGGGGAGATGATCATCTGCAACACAAACAGGGGGTAGTGCAGCCTGGTGTGTGCAACCCACTCGACACGGGAAACCACCACCGCTGAAGCGCCGTACCGCCAACACGAAGAGCTCTCCAAGAGCGCACTGAACACGTTCAGTCTTCTTTTCTCAGTAGAGTAGTCAGGAGCAGAACGATGTGATCGCTCGGCTCTGAAGCGAAAAGCTGAATATGCGCTGCATCTGCTGCCTACTTATACTCACGCTGTGATCAGCAGCAGGTGGATGCAATAATCGCATGCCAATGTGCATTGGCTCGTTTAGTTTACACTCGAAGTAGATTGGTCCCTCTAAGCGAGATCCCAATTTCGTCGGTCCTCCGACGTGACGTCGAGAGTGACCGACTGAAAGGGAACTGAAGATTTCATGCTTGATTATATTTGTCCATTATATAAAGAAAACGGGATCCATTCCCAAGAATTATGCAAAACCCCAGGTATTCACCCACTACATTTATTATTAACCAGGTAATGGGAAAGGTCTGCAATCCCTACAATCCCTCAACTGATACATCAAGATGAGGTTTCTGAGATTATGTATATTTTGTATGTACTTTGTGTATTCTCTTTCACTGTTTTCGTGTGTTGGGAATATAAAATATATATGTAGGTATGTGATCCTCTCAACAAAATGTGAAAAATATAAATAATCATTGCAAGGGAGATGTTGTGAAGCTGATTCAGGAGTTTTGTTAGAATCTATGCGAAGTTTATTTAAAGCTAAATCCTAATTTGCATACTTCTGTCAGGCAGTAGCTGTAGTAGTAGTAGATCAGGCCTTTGAAATACATCTTGATACCACAGACCTCTTTGTCCAACAGTGTTTCTAGCTAACTGCATTACTTTAAAGAGGTTGCATCATGATCAAATATTACTTTATCTTTTGATATAAAACAGTTCAATACAATATGAAAATGTAATATAACTTCTATAAAATTTCTTCCCCAGTTAAAAGAAAGGAAAAATAAAAAAATAAAAAAAAATAAATAAAAAATTACAAACCTCTACTGCAACTGCAACTTACTGATGAAGGTGAAGGCACCAACAGGAACCACCCACATTTTCACACCAACAATGCAAATTTGCTGTTTGGAAACTTGACCCACCCAGTCATGGTGATGTAAATATGCAGGATACATACAGTAGTATTATTACTAAACACCAGAAAAACTACTGCTCTGCATCCTCTTCCAAAAGAGGTTAAGAAACTTTTGGAAACTTTAGGAAAGTGTTTATTTATAATGTTGATTGTTTTATGTCACAGTTTAATGAAGAGCTGTTAATGAAAATAAAACAATTGGGAAAATAAAACAATATAAAAATTAAATAATCCTTTAACTCTTTAAACATACTTCTTAGGTATATATATTTTGTTGATGGTCCCGAGATCTAGATTAAAGTTGAGGGGTGACTGTGCTTTTTCTATTGTTGGGCATATATATAAATAGCATCCCGGTTTCTCTCAGATTAGTTTAATCGGAATCTGAATTTAAATCTAAGTTAAAAAACATTTATTTTTTTTACCCAGGCTTGTAACTGTTCCCAGAGTCTCAAACTCCATCACGTATTAGTGTTTTGATATTATCCTCTCTTATTGCATTATGGTCTATATTGTTTAATATTCACTTCTTATGTGTATTTTAGTATGGTTTTGCACAGCACAGTGGTCATGTTACGGAAGTATACTCGGAACACAGAGAGATGGGTAAGTAGGAGTTTAATGACAACAACTGAGTTCAACAGGTAACCAGGAGGATAGACTTGAAATGGTTACTGGAGTCGTGGGGTGATAAGTCTCTTTCTTACAGGACCAGGAGATCGGGAAGGAGCTGAAGACCAGGGGCACAGAGACGATGGAGGACTAGGACAAGGAGAACACACTGGGGAGATAACAGGAGGCAAGTTCAGGTTCAGACACTTTGTTAAAGAGAATAGCAATGTAGCTATTGGCATTTAGTCCATTACGTGTTAACGAGACCAGACGCTGTAGTGAGGTGCTGGGTGTGCTTATAAAGCCAGTTTGATGAAGGTGCAAATGGGTGGCAGGTGCGTGTGATTAATACTCAGGTGAGGGAGTGCGCTGGGATTGGCTGGTGAGGAGACCTGGCTGATTAGTAACAGGTCAACTACTGTTGTTTTTTAATTGTGCACTATAAATAAATTTTGATTTGATTTTATGCATTTAAAAAATTTTATTAAAATTTTATTTTTTTGACAAATTTTAATTTTTAGCTGCGATTTTGCATTTTGTTGCATCCCATTTTAAAAATAATTTTGGTTTTCCAAAGTAAAGGACGGTAAACTACAAAAATGTCTTGAGATCCAAAGTATTTGGGGGGCCTCCTAAACTTTTCTGGGATGAGGCCAACCAGTGACTGTGCATTTGTGTGAAGGAATTAAACCAAATAGTTAATTCCACCCCTTTTGTCACAGAAAGAAGCTCTCTAAGTTCTAAACAAACATCACCTGCTTCTCAGTTCATTTTGTTTTTTCAATTTAACAAAAGACTCATCTGAATGAGCGAATCCTTTTATAGTCCTGTTGTTACTGATTATTAACCTTCCACTGAACTCTCAATTAATCCACCCGGGGGTCATGTCAAGCAGAGCAGTAGTACAACAGCCCACTGTAGCCGGACAACCTTGCTGCATTCGAACAGCCTGATAGCAGTCTGCCGGCGACGCTCATTGGTATTCTGCGCGGCGGCGAGTGTGTGTGGAGAATTAATTTGTTACATATGTCATGTTCCTCATGCAGTCCTGGCACACATTATGGCTGTGTCTTCTGGGACTACCCTCAAACCATGCTCCGGGGCTGTTTCCGCACTCCCAGGAGACCTGGGTAGAAAGAAGAGGAAGAATTAAGAAATTAAAATGATGCACGACCCTGGAGGATTAGCAGCCAAAGCCTGGTAGCGCTGCGGCGTGGGGAATTATGTACATGAAGCAAAGCAAAAGCAATACACTCTGAAAAATAATCAAAATAGTGCAGCGTAAGCAAGGTAATGCTTTGTCTGATATTGATATGTTGTCTACAGATGGACTCTCAGCACAAGAGAAGAAAGACAAAATTGAGCAATGACGCAAATACAGCCATCAGAGGAATTTTCTAAGGGCCGAGTGCAGATGAGGTCAAGTAATATTTTTTAAGCCTCATGCTATAATCAATAAAAGCATAAAGAAGGCCACAGCGCATTATGCTCGGGTGTGTTTCCCAAAAGCATCGTTTCTAAGTTCCGTTGTTATCAACATTGGTGTCCAACGATTTGGTGTTTCCAAAACATGTAGTTCCATAGAACATTCGCAAAGAGTATCACAAAGTTGTGTGGTTGGAACTACAGCTCTCTTCCTGTGGTTAGAAGCATAGTTTATTGTTAGTATGACATATGGGCTTAAATAGATCATGCACTTAAACAAAATAGCAAGCTAGCATGTAGTACAATCTATATCTTTCATTCCATACATACAAATTTCATTATATGGCTTTTAGTTTGCTAAGAGAATTGAAATATATAGCCTATCATACAAAGTTTAAAACATTTAAATAGACATATCAAGCAGTAGAAAATGTATATGTATCTTAGTTGATTATAAGGATAGAGCTGGTTTTGTTTCTGAGACGAAACACGACTGTTTGATTTGTAATCTTGCTGTGCTTATTTCATTCATTAGTGTAACATATCGTACAAGATTTAAATAATTTGAATATACATATCAAATGGTAGGACGTGTATGATGTATTTTACTCTTGCCAAGCTCTGATTTCTGAGAGACACACGAAAGGCAATAACAACGCGGCTATTTGATTTGCGCTTGATTCATTCGTGTTCACACTCATTCACTTCACACACTCAATATTGCGTAATGATTTTAGAGGTTATGTCCCCTGGATCACCTGTTAACCAGCAAACAGGAGGAGTGACTGTGTCAGCCTCAGCCAAATATTATTTGGCATAATTATTTGTTATTCGTTTTTCATTTTGAAGCCGTTATCTGTTCCTTTCTGAATAAGGTATTCGGCTTTGGGCACACCCCTACAACTTACTATAGTAGTTAAGCAGCAAGTTACACCGTTGTTCAGGAAACACACTCCTTGTCTATAAATGGCTGCATAGACATATTGCACCACACTATACTGAACCTTCCCCACTACAGTTTGGGTAAAAAAAGAATAGGAAGGGTCTGAAAAAGTTCAATGTTTTTCTCAGACGTAAGATGATTGAATTGTCTCCAGCACAGGCCCAAATTTTTGAAGCATGCTTCTCTTCAGTCTAATTTCTCTGTCTTTCTGTCTGGCGCGCTCCCACCCTATCTAGGGTGAGATGAAGTGCTCTAACTCATTAGTGTCACATCTGTTCTCACTGGCTGAGGTGAAAGCTTGTCCTTCTTGGCCACTCCTCTGGGTGATTGACACATTTTGGTGAGCTCGGGTTGATCGATTGCTCTTAACAGCAAATCACAATGAGGGCTCGCGATGAGACCGCTCTGTATTTTGGCTCCAGCTCAGTCGGATCACAATGACAGAGTGTGTCTCTGTGATGTTGTCCCAGGCCAGCCTCTCCGATACTCCCATCACCCCTGGGACTCTTTTTAAGTGACATTCCCACAATGAGGCTTCCGAAGTCCGGCTCTAAAAGAAGAGAATGGGGTTCCCATCAGAATGACCAAGAATCTGCAGGGAATTGATTTTTGTCTGAGCACCTAGAGCTGTCCCCCTTTCTTCCTCCCGTATATTTAAATCATTTGGGTCATTTACTGTAGCAAGAAATAGAAAAAAATGCGTAAGAGAAGTTTTGTGGAACATTAAGGTCACTGTAGTAGGTTTGGTTTATCTTCCCCTAGTTTAACAGCCTTTCAGAGCTCAGCTGGAAAGAAGTTCAGACCTACCTATTAAATATAGGACATCTACTTATCTACTTTACGCCAGATTTCACCTGCAGGGCACCTTGGGTTCTAATATTACATAAAAACTCTTTTACATTAAACAGAAGAAATACATATGCATCACTGACTAAAAGAATAAGAATAAGAATACTTCTGTGTCTTAAAAATCACATTTGGTAAAAAGTTGGCATTATATACAGTACAGAAGAATGGATCCAGACTGAATGTGAGTTTGCTGAAACAATTGCTATTCGGCTATTGGTTTACTTTAAGCAATATCACACAAGTAAGAGTGCTATTGTTCCAAATATTCAGACTCACAACAGCACAATTTTGAGATTGATTTTGATTATACAAAGTTCAATAAACAAGTAGTTAATATTAAGTAACTTACATTTTTTTTTAAATATATATATTGCCAGTTACTTTTGTATTTGTGTTCCTTAAAAAAATAAAATAAAATAAATAAAATAAAATAATAATGTCACTTTCTGTACGATGAGGAACTGACATTTTTTAGTTAAAACTAATTGGAAAATGACATTGAGTGAATGAATATAATGAATTATTATGAAACATGTTTAGAAAACATATATATAAAATAAAAAAAATTAAACTAGACATTAGTTCCAAACAAAGCAACAAACAGACAGTGAAAATTCCCATTGCTGAATATCAGAACTCTTGGAAATCCACTTAGCCAATGATATTAGAAAATACGAACTAACTGTTGTACAGTATCTAACAGTCCTAGTGCACTCACTGTCTAAATGATAAAGATAATTTCTGAGGAAGTTATTACTGTATATTTTGATTCAAGATTACCATAAAACCATAAAAATAGCATGCATTTTCCCTAGGAGTAACCTGCATTGATGAATCACAGAACAGAGTAACAGCAGGAAATTGCAGTAAGAATGTAAATATATAAAGTCATTTTTGATTTAATGTTACAGCATTGCTAAAGCTTTCATCAAGGGTCCATGTTTTTAAAAGACAGGAGTAGATTTGGTTAATACTTGACAATGTTTTGAGAGTTGCTGATGTGTAGGTCTTATTAGACATGATATCATTGACCTTTACGTGTGCCAAGACATTTGCTGCGGCAAAACCAAGCAAGGCCTCAGCGGAGAGAAAGGATGTGCTCAGTGTGGAAGATGTGTACCGTAACGGGGGGGTTGTCTTTATATGCCCGGCTGCTGTCACACATAAGTGTTTTGACCCGTGCCACTTGTATTATGGACTGAGAGTGTACCAGACCTTTTTTTAGTCCTTTAATTGCTTATTACATGAATAACACGGTTTCCTTTTTATAATAAGGTGCCTCAATAGTGCCTCAATAACGTAGTCCTTTTAATAATGGCTTTGAACTATCTGAGCTGTCTTAGACTGTATCCCATGGAGATCAAGGCAATGAATATGTCTGGGTTTAAGTCACTTCTTCATTTTAGCATTATTCAGTGTGTCATCTGCATTCTCAGACTTTGCAGACACAGTTATAAATTAGATCAGGGAGCTGGTGGCAGTAGGCCGGTCACTCAAGTACAGCACAGCAGTGCCCTGTCTACGGCTATAGGGACCTAATGTGATTTAATAAAGACTTCTATTGAGGCAAGGAGCTTGATATTTCAAGCAGTTCTATGATGTCAAAAGCACTGTGACTGTTATGAACTTTTATGACCTCATGTGAGGGTATAGACGTACTGGGTGTTGTTTTATGTGACCTTGAGCTCTGGGCTGTATATCCAATTCATTTCAGTGTCCCCATTAAACACCACTCTTATGGGACAATGGCTCACTATCACTATGTGTTATCATTACATTATTTAACCCACAACAAGCCAAAAGCAATTAATTAATCAATACATTATGGTATTAATTAATGATGAGTCTTACATTGTGTAGTGCTCAGACTGCGACTAAAAATGAAAATGCAACAGAAAATATAAATTTACGTCTAAAATCTAGTCATTCTGGAGTTTTGTGTGCATCTATTAATGGTTTCAGATA